AATAAGTAAATAAGCATCCTAGTTTTGTTTTTGTTCCTGTAATAAATGTTATGACCAGAAGCAACTTGGAGAGGAAAGTGTTAATTTCATCTTATAATTCCAAGGCACAGTACATCTTTGAAGGAAGTAAGGCAGGAACTCAAGACACAAACCTAGAAGCAGGAATTGAAGCAGAGGCCATAGAGGAAAGCTGATTAGTAGCTTGCTTCCCAGGCCTGTATTCAACCTGCCTTCTTATAAAACACAGAACCACTTGCCTAAGTGTGTGGTACCATCCACAGTGAGCTGGGCCCTTCTGCCATCACCCCAAAATCAAGAAAATCCTCACAGATATGGCCACCAGCCACTCCAATAGAGGAAATTCCCCAAGTATGTCAAGTTGAAAATTGAAACCATTTTTTTTTAAAAATTTTTAAATTGTATTTATTTATTTATTTATTTATTTATTTATTTATTTATTTATTTATGTGAGTGTTATGCTTGCATGTATGTAAGTACACCATGTTGTGCAGTGCCCACAGAGGGCAGAAGAGGGCAATTGGATCCCCTGGAACTGCAGTTATGGATGGTCATTAGCTGCCATGTGGGTACTGAGATTCAATCCTGTGTCTTCTGCAAGAACAGCCAGTGCTCTTAACCACTTAGCCATCTCCCAGTCCCTCACACAGCCTTTTAAAAGGCATCCAGCAGCTGAATTACTGCCACATCAAAGTATAATCAACCTCTTCAATTCTTTCTGAGTCTTCAAAATCATGCCCTCTCTGTCTGCCTCCTACTTCTCACTACATACAAACTGACTTTAATGTTGAATAGCTTCACCTTTTGGAGTATAGTGATCACAATTTGATTGTGAATCATAAGAAATGACAAAACATTGGGCTGGAGAGATGCCTCAGTGCTTAAGAACACTGATTGTTCTTGCAGAAGACCCAGGTTCTAATCCCAGCACTCACATGGCAGCTAACAACTGTCGGTAAATCCAGTCCCAGGGAATAAAACAGCCTCTTTGGACCTCCGTGGCATTGCACAGCATGGGTGTACCTACCTACACGCAGGCAATACATGCATACACATTAAATAAAAATAATAAACTTTTTTTAAAAAAGGAAATGACAAAATATTTTGGGGTTTTATGTTTCCAAAATATGAATTCAGTGCCCCTGTTGGAGTAGTTCATGAGCGAATGTGTTTTCAGCGGGGAGCCATGAAGAAATGTGGGAAACAGTGTGACAGTAAGAAGAGAGGGAAGTAGAAGCCAGATATGAACCGGACTTTGGGAAGTCTTACTATCATTTAATTTTAAATGAGATGACTTGCAAATGAGATTGTGTACTATTCAGTTTTGTGTTCATCTTAGCAACGATACTACTAGAAATTCATTCAGTATTACATGAAGTTTGCCACCCCATGTGACTGTGATTCTTACATGTTTTCATTTGTTTTTGTGTCTGCTGTGTAAGTTTGTCAGAGACTTTACATATTATTCATACTTCCTTTCTTTCTGCTTTCACACAGAGCTGACTTCATCAGAATTCCTTAGAATTTTCTACTCACATAATTCTAATGGCAAACTATGTAGAGTAGACCCAGGGACTGTGGGTCTGTGGGTCACAAGGGAGAAAACTTTTTGAAGCTTCACGTTTCATCTTAAAAACAAAGGACAAAGCAAAATGTGTCTTATTTTCTGTAATATATCTGTGTCTGTATGAAAGAGAGAGTTTTAGATGAAAATAATTTTTCCTTCCTTTAAATATCCAATTAAAATGATGTCTTGAAAAGATGCCGTATGTCTTGTACTAGATTCTAGAACCGTATGCTGCCATGTTCCTCCATTGCACTTTGACAGGCGCAGATACCCCATCATCCTGGACAACTCTTCCACACTAATGAACAGTTACATTTTGTTGGATTAATTGATAAGTTTTGATTTCAGATGTTTTAGTATGCCATCTGGATTCCCAGAACCAATAGATAGATAATTCTACGTTGCTAATAAGTAGAGAGAAAAAAAGACCCGATGTTTAATTTCTTTAGCCCATATGTATAAATTACAAAAAGCATACTTAGTGTGCTCAGTCAGACCCAAATGTACATGAGATCAGGCCCCACTGTGGGCAAGTTTCCTGTGTTCTCCTGTGGAGGTGTTCACGGTCACCTTACCCACGTACCCATGTTTCCTTGGTAAAGCCCCATCTTCACAGAGTTGTGCAGCACAGGTATGTGCCATGGCTTGTCAGCTTTGTGATGGTGATGTTTTCCTAATTGTTAGGGAAAAGGTCAGCAAAGTTATTTGCAACAATTAATTGCTAATCAAAGAGAAGTTAATATGAATATTTTCTTCTGTTGCAAGATTTTATTTTCCTCCTTTGGGAATTCTTTAAGACTTCTCAGAGGACTGATCATCCAGTTACTGTTGACTCTTCAGTCACTGGTTCTATCTTTTTGCATTGCTGGGTAGAACAAGAGTCAAGGGAGTGCTTTTCTGCACTATGGTCAAGAAGAACCTTGCTCCTCTCTCTTGATAGAGGCTAGGTATCTTCTGCTTCCAGTTCCTACTTCCTGGAATAGGAAAGAGAAAGCTGATCCAGGGATCCTCAGAAGGCATCAGGTTTTCACCTGTCCACCGAACTGCAGTGGAGAAACTGTAAGGCAGGGTTCATCAGTAAAACCCAGAAAGATATTCCTTCCTGGAACTCTTAGTTCACAATGGATAATATAGTAATTGCCACATGCAGAGAGCTCTACATTTTCAAAGCACCACTTTCACTTGATTATCATAGCACAATGAGATATATCCATTAGTGTTAGCCACAAACAGGGAATCTATTAGGTTGGGTTGGAACATTACCTCCATTGTTTTTGTCACGGTCCAAACTGGTCCAGGTCAGTATTTTTGTTCGTGTTGGATTAACTGGTTTTCTTCTGTTGTCAAGCGATTTTTATCCCCACAGAAGTTGAACTCCTCACATTATACAGCGTGGGGCTCACTGCAGTGAAGATTTAGGGGAGTTGCCTTCAAGTACAGGAAGAGTTGTGCCTCTACTCCTACCTTCCTGAGCTCTGTTGCACATCTTACTAGACCAGGTGCCTTAAGCATGTGGGAAAGGTAATTATGGCTCTTGAACTTTTTAACCTGCTGAATCTCTTTGTCTATGGAAATATAATTCACAAAACTACCTCATAAATTCTGAAACCTAATGTATCTCTTTCAAACTGGTCCAAATTTGTTTCTGGCTATGGTCCTACACTTGACACAGTGTCCGGCCTGCCATATGCTGGGGTGTGTCACTGTTTAGCAAGAGGATGCTGAGTGGGTCTGGATGTTTGGAACATTTCAGTATCTTGGCCCTGGACACTACACTGGCTCCCATCTGCTCTTGAGTACAGCTCTTGGAATAGATTCCAATTCTCCAAGAAGGATGTAGTCTGAGATCTACCCTCTCTAGGCTCTGACTCAATATTAGAAGCTCAAACCTCTCTTCTTATTAGGAGATTTTCATTTGGTTAAACTTAGCTCATCAATAGGAGAACTCTGTTCTGTTCTTAGGAAATCTTGATTCCAACTAAAGCTCTATGTCCTAAAGATCTCCTTTCCTCTGCCCTCCTCCCTGTCCTCCTTTACTTTGCCAGTAGTCTCATTCAGGGCTTTTATTGTTCTCAAGTCTATCAATAGATTCCTCACCCATGGAGACTCCCTAAATGAAAACAGCGAAGTGAGGTTTGGGTATTTATTCTTTGTGACCCCTCTTTCTAATGTCTGAGTCTCTTCACTAAAAGCCCTCTTGGCACCTTCACGATAATGTGTTCCTTCCAATTTCTGGAAACAATCCTTAATTATCCTTATACTCTGCAGCCAGGGAGTGTTTAGCAACTAACCTAGAGGCATTCCGTTAGAATCTGTGTTTTCTCTATACTCTAACCACATGGTACTATTATAAGTATCCCCCTTGAATTACCCTAATTAGACTGGACTTTCTGTTTCCTGCTGATACTCTGACTAGTCATTTCATAGGACCAGTCACGTGAAATTTAATAAGTGAAATTTCAAGCTTATAATAATGGCCACCCCTGTTCTAAATTTGCTTGGCAATGACTAAAAATGAGTTTCTTCTTTGGGAGTTTTAGATTTCATTGCATATGGGATTTATATATCTATGAACTAGAAAACAGAGCTAAGTGTCTAAGTGATTAAGAAGTATAAGAAATGCTCAGTGAATTCACAAATGAGCAACATCAGTAGGAAGTAAATGGTCAGATGAAACTCATGGATAAGCTATCAGGTTCCCCTCAACATCAAAGAATCATTTGTGAATTTTTTGACCTGAATCTAGGATGGATGCTATATTCAAAGCTGTACCAAAACAGATAGCCTGTGGTGGTGTTCTAAAGAGTTGGCAGAATATTGGCCTTAGACAAAGTCTTCTGGAAATGATTGTTCATGGACTCATCACACATGCAATGGCTCCAATTGGGGACTGGACTTGGCACATCTCTCAGTGAAATATAAAACTTCTTGGGTCTCTTGAATTAAACATTCTTTTTGAAAAGGCATAGAAAAAGTGGGGATTGAAGGGCTGCCATTTTAGTCTTAGCTATTGCTCATTAACAATATACTAAATATCTTTTAATCTGAAAATAATTTCTGGTTATAATAATTATGTTATATAATAATTGTTATAAGTTAGTTTTGGTTTTTCTTTGAAATGAAGATACTTAGAAACACACAATAATGTAAGACTCATGTAATAATTGCTCTCATATTCACCATCCATGTGAAGAAATAAAATATTCCCAGTGTACTGTATCCACTGCCTCCTTTCTGAATTGGATACTTTTCCTCTTGTGTCATTCTCTTCACTCACATGAATCAAAAACTAAGGCCCAGTAGACAAATAGCTCTGAAAACTACCTTTGCTTATTGCCACTGAGCTGTAGTATATAGCATGAGGCTATCCTCCACACCTCCAGGGATTATGATTCCATTAATACTATGTGCTCAATCCAAGGCCTCACTTCTTTGGGCCTAAAAAAATACAATTAAGGTAGAGTCCTTGAAGAATAACTGCTGACCTTATTCTCTGGCTGTGGGCCTTGTGGCATAGTCAGTCACCAGGTTAGTGACATTCAAAAAAAAATACAATTAAGACCCTCTCAATGTGAGGGAACTCATGTGGTACTGCAGACATAGCCAGCTACACATGGCTGGAGAAGTAATAGATCTAGAGAAAATCCTACTTTTGCCACATCCTTAGAGCAATGTCATTTCTTTATTCTAAATATGCATCCTCATATTTACAGACAAGTGTACCTTTCACCCCTCATCAAAGAAGCTCCTCTTTGCAACAGATGGAGACTTACAGAGTTCCACAACTGGTCATAGAGAATAAGTGTCTATGAGACACTTAACCCTAAGTGACATATCTTGAATGCAACCTCTACACATAAGATGAATGCACCTCTCAGCTCTTGCCATAGAACTTTCCTTGGGCAGTAAATGGTGATTAACAAAGGAATCAACAATTGGCCAATGCGCAGTGAACAAGAGGCTGCAGAATGCTTATTGTTGAATAGGACACCTATTTCAAAACTTTGCCTCCCAAAGCTCAGGGATTATTGCGGAGGAGAAAGTAGAAAGATTGTAGGAGGGGGTGGATGAACACAAGAAACAGAGTCTTTTCTCATTGTTAGCCACATGTGGGTGCTAGGAAGTGAAGCTGGGTCCTCTACAAAACCGTATCAAGGACATTTAAAGAGAAAGTGGTAGCCCATTGCTACCGTCATTTCCAGTTCACAGATTCCCCAAAGCCAGCTTCTCCTGTCCTTTATCTAAGGTAGTCACAGAACTCTGTGAGGAGACATGAAGAAGCAAAATGGCAGAAACGGAAAGTTTATCACCTGCTAACAAATGAGACTACTGGATTTCTGAGAATTTACTAAGAAAAACAGGGAAAGGCTCATTCAATATAATGTATATGGAAAGAAATTTGGAAATTCAGGCTAATAAGGGAGTCATTAATGTATTTATTAGTGAATGTTACATAACACAGTCATTTAAACGAAAGATTGTGTAACACTATGGAAAAGTATTGATCATATTATGTAATGTATTTGATGTGTTTCTGTCTATATCCATGGCTAATATTATACATAACCAAACCTATTGCAAAAAACCCCAGTGCTTCATAACATACATATGTTAGAGGGAATAGCTTGGGAATTAGTGAAGGTCATGTAAAATTTATATGAAAAATGTCATGTAGCATCATCAAAATGATGCTGTTCAGAATCATCTTGTGCTGTGTTCAATTGTGGTACCTATGTTCTAGTTTTTAGAAAGCAGTCTGTATGTATTCACTAGCTTGACAGACATTATTATTCTGCCTGCTGTGAGGTTGGAAAGCAAGAGGAATATGCTGTTCCTCACATATCTGCATCTCAAATCCCAAGAATAAAGGAATAGAAAGGAAGACTGGAAGGGAGAACAAAGGAACATTCCCACAAACCACAAACGCTTCTTTGATAAGAAACAAAATTCAGCTGTTGGCAATAAGTGGTGTTTTGTGAGGTTGTGATAGAATCAAAGGCTTATATTTAAAGGAGACTTTTTTTCTGTAGCACAAACATGATTAGGGGCAATGTGTATTATTTTAGATTTTCATTATTTATAAAAGAGAAACAAATAGTGTTGGACGTGCAAGAACAAAGCTAAATCGTTGGACTTCAGAGGACTTCTGGCTCTCAAATCTAAGAATTTAATAACTGGACTGTTTACATGTTTCATTTGTTTTCTTCTTTGAAGAAAAAGCTCAATGTAGTGTTATTTGCCTCATTTCAGAACAGTTGGTTTTAGTGTTACAGGTTTAGTTTTATCTAACCTGCTCCCTCCCTTTTATTCTATGCCCTGGTAACAAAAGCTGCTCCTGTGGTTACATATATGCCCCAAACTCTGTGGTGTTCTTCAACTGAAGGGCTTTTGAGAATAAACCACGGGGAGACATGTACATAAAAAGATACCAGCATCTTATAAAACTAACTCCTAAATAGGAATGCAGGAACCCAGGCCAAGTGCCTGGCATGTACATCTCTCCCTTCCACCTCTCTTTCTTTCCCTTATTGTTCATGTTTTCCAAATGGGATTCTGAGCCTCCTTGCTTCTTCTTCAATGGCTGCTATTTGATGCTCAGTTTTGGCTACCTGTCATAAGGGTGAAAGTGATTGGGGGAAAAGATGTTTTATATTAATGTCCTCTATAATTGAGGGCCCTCCAGAGGCTTGAATAGAGGGAAACCTGTTGGTGATAGCGCTGGATATCAGAAGAACCAGCACTCACCCTAAGAGTCTGAAACAGCATGGGCATAAGGAGCAGAGCCTTCCAAAGCTGCAAGGCTTCACGCTGTGGCATGTAGTACAAGAGAAGGAACTTGTGATTGGAGAAATCAAAAAGGAGGAGGACTGTGGACAAGTTGCCTGTCTAAGCTATCCTGGAGGAGGTACCAATGTTTTCTTTGAGTAGTCATAAAATTTTATCATAGCCATAGGTGTTTGCAAGCTTTTGATATATTTCTTTTTTCCCCAATATGTATTTTTATTGAATTTTTGTGCATTTCATACTTACGTCTTAATCATAATTAGACCCCCCATCCCTATCTGTACTTTCATTTCCTTCCCACTGGATTTCATGCGTTCTATCACATATGCTAACACCTACTGAGTCAAGTTTGTGTATCCAGATGTCCTTTGGTGTGAGTTCATCCACTGGACAATTCTTACTCATTCTTTCATTCACTTAAGCAGTATTTGGTGTGAACCACCCATGTGCCAGGAACTCAGTATTCAGTGTTGAATATGAAAATAGTAATCCATAGTTATAATGGAACCTAATACTTCTCGAGTATTTTCTAAATGACACATTCTTTTTTCTTATCAA